CCATTCCTCCTATTCGCAATAAAATTTCCAAAGCTTTCGATCAAGGTTGATCGATTCGAAATATCCTAGGGAATTTCTTAAACTCCCCAATCCTGCTTAATCATGTCGGCAGCCTTCTCCGCGATCATGATCGTGGGCGCATTCGTATTTCCAGAAACGATCGTGGGCATGATGGAAGCGTCGATCACTCGCAGCCTCGCGACGCCGTGCACCCTCAGCCTTGCGTCGACCACCGCCATTTTGTCACTAGCCGGCCCCATTTTGCACGTGCCGCACGGGTGGTAAATGGTCATCGTGTAGTATCGGGCGTAGCAACGCCAGTAATCGACCGACGGATACTCGAACGAGGAACATTCCGAAAGTTTGTTGGGATTCGGTCGAGCTCTCAGCCGTTTCATCGTCGCCGTTTTGCTCATGTCGTAGATGAACTTTGCCCCCTCCGCCTGTGATTCATCAAAAGTTTTATACGATATTATAATCGAATATCCAATGTTCCGTAAGATAATATATTAAGGTTCGATTAATTCGAGACTTGAGCTTCTAAAAGATTTAATTAAGACTATCGAAAAAAACGAGATGAATATTTTCTATTATTTGTTTAGTTCATTACCAAAACGTCGAGATCGTGCGGGTCGTCGAAGTAGTTTGGAACTATGATCGGTTGATCGTTGATGCGTTTGGTGCGAAGCTTGATGTATCCTCTGCTCCTTGGCCTTAGAAGCAACGGCATGATCGTGTACGAGTCTTGGTACAAGATATTCTCGTACAAACGTTCGTAAAAGTTGTCCTTAACGTTGCAGTCTCGCTTCCCAAACAGTCCACCGTCCGTGTTATCGGCCGTGGAGGATAGGAACAATTGTATGTCGGGATAATCTGCCGACTCGTTTGCATATCTGAAATCGAGTTTATTATCGTTCATAATCGAAGGATCAGATAATTTTCAATCGTGTGTTCAATTTTTTAATCATAGAATAATCTGGAATTATATTGAATTTTTGAAATGTGAAAATAGGGCTTTATGTTCCTAGGATTTAATCTAGTTATATTATAATTTGTTTCTCTTGGAAAGGGGGATAATAACAGGATTCATTCCAAAATTCTGAAACTGAGAGAACTTAAAAAAGATGCAACAGAATATAAGATATAAACTGTTCCTCTTAAATATTCCAGTTTCAAGAAAATTTTAAAAAATCGACAAATATCATGTGTTCTTCTCTATCAAATTTTAAATTTTCAAAATTTTAATAGCCACAAGTGACAATCGACCAAAGTACCAAATTTAACTAGTTAGAAATATTCATAAAAATCACAATCGACCAAAATATCAAATTTAATAGTTAGAAATATTCATAAAAGTCACAATCGACCAAAGTACTAAATTTTCAAAAATTTAATAGCTAAAAATATTCACTTGATATTCATAAAAGTCACAATCGACCAAAGTACCAAATTTAACTAGTTAAAAATATTCATAAAAGTCACAATCGACCAAAGTACTAAATTTTCAAAAATTTAATAGCTAAAATATTCACTTGA